AACGAAAAAGGAGCATTTTTCTACTTTCAATATTAAATCAAAAAACGAATGATCGAATGATACACGGATTCTGTTCGTTTCCGATTTAATTCAGATTCATTTCATGAAAGTTCATTTCTGAACTTTGCTTAACTCTGCCCCCTACAGAGTGAAAAGGGAACATGATAGCACACTTAGAATCTGTTGTAAGGCATTCACTGTGTTAGAAAGAGGAAGAAGGTGTAATGCAGTCTGCATAAGTGTTTCTGGGGTTAAACTAGCTTATGCTGTGGCCATATTCAAAAGAAATGAAGCGTACAAAAAGCAGCATAGGCTAAAGTGGCCTGTAAAGTGTTACATTATTAAGTGAGACATAAGATTTCCCAGTATCTCCCATGTTGGCTCTTATTCATTACCACGAGATGAAGTAACGCGCGCACACTAGCGATTTTAGCACCTGTATCGTTGAGTTGTTAATACGGGCAGCAGTGGAACAGTAAAAGTTACAGCAAAGAGAATTACAAACGTACTAAAGCATCCGTAAACAGAAATATGCAGATAGAAGTGCTATAAAACGATCCTTTTCATCATTTGTTTTAGGAGAAAGAGTTACATTTCATGACAAAATATTGTTTTTGCAAGCCCTTACACATGGTAAAAATGGTAAAAACAAAAAATCACCATGGATGAACCAGCTGTGGTGGTATTACCATGATAATATTACTCAGCATACTCAGCACCACGGTATATGGATAGTTTTAAGGATCACCACCAATATTTCAACTATTTTGTAAAGGTTTAAATAAATGAACGTATACAGAAAAGTGTAGTTCCCTTTCATGGGAACTTCGAACTGCGTCCTCTAGGGGTCGCTATGGGGAACACCTCGTCGTGACCCGTGTCTGAAGCATACATTGAAAAAACACCAACTCGTTGGCCGGCGACAGCCATGACGTCACTACCGGTGCGACTATAGTATAAATAGGCACCGGGAGCACACATCATTCTTTTCTGTGGTAAGAGCGATCTATTCATCTCATTATGGCGAGCACTAGCAAAGCGTTTAAGGATGTGTGCATCAGTGTTGACGCGATGCCTCCGAGGGGGCAATCCTGCATGCTCTTCGCCCAAACAAATAACGCATAGATCGTGTGTGTCATCAGATGTCAAACAACGTCAACACTGATGCACACATCCTTAAACGCTTTGCTAGTGCTCGCCATAATGAGATGAATAGATCGCTCTTACCACAGAAATGCACGCTTCAAACAAAACAGTCAATGAAGACGAAGAAGAGAATGATGTGTGCTCCCGGCGCCTATTTATACTATAGTCGCACCGGTAGTGACGTCATGGCTGTCGCCGGCCAACGAGTTGGTGTTTTTTCAATGTATGCTTCAGACACGGGTCACGACGAGGCGTTCCCCATAGCGACCCCTAGAGGACGCAGTTCGAAGTTCCCATGAAAGGGAACCTGAAAATATTATTCAAAATATTATTAAAATCTATGTTAGCATATAAATAATACCAAAATAACACTGCTCCAAATACGTTTTTGGCCTGCTATGCTTAGTAGTGCCATTATTAAAATTAAACCATTTGCTCAAATGACCTTGTGTTTAGTTTTAAAACAGCTCTGTTCCATAAAACTTCGCTCACGTTTTCCCTTCCGTTACTTCTCAAAAAAGCCAGTGAGTCATACATTTGCAGATTAATGTGTGTGATTCATAAGTTGGCTTTTGTGCTTGTGTGGTGTTTCTTTTTTTTACCCAGAATCCTGTTTTTGTACAGTTCAATCACAATGCTGGCGCTCCGTTTTGATGACTCAGAGATCTGAACTCTCTTCTAGATGAAGATATGCACTCTAGATGAAGATGACTCCCCTGGAGAGCAGAAACGGAAAAATACTCAAAAATGCCTCGCTAGAAAGAAAATCATGGAAATAAAATCAAATGCATAAATAAATAGAACTTCAAGGAATGACGGATAACCAAACGCCGTTTGATTACTATCATTCAGGCAGCAAATTAGAGTGCTTTATGCATGTCAGAATAGTGCCTTTTTCTTCACATCCACATTAAGTCTTGTACATCATCTTCTTACAATGCACCGCTAGCCCCCAGCGGGACTCACTCAGGCTGATTTAATAGAGCTGGTTTAACGGCTGCGGCCTGCTATAATGAGTCACCTTCTCCGTGCACTTCAGCGCTGATTATGGGCCGCGCTTTAGGTAAGAGCGAGAGGCGCTCTGAAATGGAGACTCAGTGGGGGTCTATGTAATATAAAGCTGTATGAAGGTATGACGGCACTGATGTCTATGGCTGCCTGCTCAGCAGAGGAGAGAGTGACAGCCGCCCGGTGTCCCCCGGCTCATCTGACACGAACAGTGCTTGCGCTTTTATTAGCCCACGATGATAAAGACGACTCAAGTGCTAGTTTGAAACTTCAGACTCCATTCCTCCAGTGTGCAAACCCCCTCTCCACCCCTGAGAATCTGATTGGAGGAAGGGGGACCATGGGAAAAACCATGAGTGGACTTCAAAGCCATGTGGGAAAGGCTACCGAAGAGCAGGGGTTTTCACGGGGTCAACTTTCATGCAGGCAAAAACACGAGGTCAGAGGTCGCTGACATACCTGTTCGGCATTCCACTGCCCTCCTTCAGGAAATGACCCTCACTTGTCTCAATTTGGGGGGCCACCTCAAAGCAGAGCTTGGCTTATGCACAGCCCAGGATTAAATCAGGGCCAGAGATGGGTGAGTAAATGAAATGCTTTTGCTTCTGAAATGTTTGTCCGGATTGTTTGGTCTTGGTTTGAGCCTGTAAGAAAATAACGCCAGCCAACTGCAGAAGATAGCGGATATGACTCATTCCATATCAAAATTAACATGCTGAATCATTGGAGGGCTTTAAATATGCAGCTAAAATTGAAAGCACTGCTGTCAGTCCTCTCCATAGGAAAGGAAAATGATAAATCACTTTAATAATGGTTTCTTCTAGACAGCAATGGGATTAAATGGAGAATTTTGATCAAGTTTCCTGCTCTTCAGATTTTTTATTTTTATTTTTTCAATGGAGAGCTCATTGATATCTCAAACTATGATTTGCCAAAACATTAAAATTAACATAAACTGAAATATTTTTCAACTCTTATATATATATATATATATAAAATTTACACTACTTTTGGAATGTTTGGGTAATTTTTTTTTTTTTTTAAAGAAATTAATACATTTATTTAGCAAGGATGCATTAAATTGATGTGATGAAAAGTAAAGGCTTTTACATTGCTACAAAAATTCTATTTCAAATAAATTCTGTTTAACTTCACCAAAGAATCCCTGAAAAAATGTATCACAGTTTCCACAAAAATATTAAGCAGCACTGTTTGCAATATCGATAAAGTAATGTTTCTTCAGTATATTAGAAGGATTTCTGAAGGATCATGTGAGACTGAAGACTGGAGTAATGCTGAAAATTCAGTGTTACAGTCACAGGTATAAATTACAATAGAGTGGAATAGTATATTTACTGTTCTTTGTATTTTTGATCAAATAAATGCAGCCTTGATGAGCATAAGAGACTTCTTTCAAGAACATTAAAAAAATCATTAAAGGAACACTTCACTATTTTTTAAAATAGGCTCATTTTCCAACTCCCCTAGAGTTAAACAGTTGAGTTTTACCGTTTTCGAATCCATTCAGCCGATCTCCGGGTCTGGCGGTAGCACTTTTAGCTGTAGCTTAGCATAGATCATTGAATCTGATTAGACCGTTAGAATCCCACTTAAAAATGACCAAAGAGTTTCTATATTTTTCACCCTGAGAGCCACAAATAAAGAGAAAAGGTCTCCCCCTGGGTATCTTTTCTTCACTTCAAGTCCTCAAATGAGCTAACTTCACTTTATCATGACAGCTTCCTACCGGAGGACGTTCACCTCCTCAGTGGCCTTCAAGAAACAAAAAGCCACTGCAAAGGCTGGTATTGATCCAGCATTATTTGTTAATTATAATTATCAAAGAGCAATATTCAGTTGTCAGTGTTGTTGTTGTTTTTTTTTCTTGAGTGTCTCACTATAGTTCCCACAGTAAATGCACAAACTTGTTTACCTTCAATGGAATGCAAGTTGCTTTGGATAAACATCAAATGTATAGTGTTGTCATAAATAAATCATTACACTTAAACATATGTTGCAACAGTACATACAACATCTCCAACCTGTTCTGTTATTTCCTATTTATAATACTTCTTGTTGCATTGCATTGCTATTCTTGTTTTGACAACTGTATCTCTGCCATGGCATATGAAGTGAACTTTTCATTGGTTCTAAAACTAAAAGCTGCCTAGGTTTTAAGTAGCTATTTTGGTGTTAATAATTTTGGAAATTACAGTTATAGAGGAGTTGAGGTAAGCCTCCCAGACAGCAGCTCTGACTCAAACACATTATTTTTATTGCATCATACTCAAGTCATTGTTTTGAAGTAACATGAGCATGCTGTTAGAGCAAAGTGTAAATGTCTCATCATGGTGCACTTTTTGCTGGTGTTAAATGTTTTATTGCTGTCACAGCTGTTTTCACAACTTACGATTTTGACATATGTCCTCATCTCTCTCTAGAATCTGTTATTTGAATGTGGAAAAAAAATATCTTGATGTAATCATCAGTCCCATGTCACTAGGTTTCAGTTGCGGGTAGTTGTAGTTGTACTTAAAAGACCTTTTTAGTCCCCAGCTAGGTAACTTCCAATAAGCCTAATTTCAGGCGCTGCGTAATATCATTGTGCCTGCTGCACCCATGGTACGGCAGCAAAGTTCCTTGATTATTATGCCGGAATGAGAGTATAGTTCCTAGCCATATTTTCATTTTTCATTTCATTCAGGTCATTTTTGAGCGAGATGCTAACGGTCTAATCAGATTCAATGACCTATGCTAAGCTACAGCTAAAAGTGCTACCGCCAGACCCAGAGATCGGCTGAATGGATTCGAAAACAGTAAAACTCAACTGTTTAACTCTAGGGGAGTTAGAAAATGAGCCTATTTTCAAAAATAGTGGAGTGTTCCTTTAAGACATTAAAAACTCCAATCATTTGAACGGTAGTTTATAACACTTACCAACTATTAATATTTTGTCTATTTTCAGGGAATTTTCAAAGAAACCTTTGAGAAATAATGACTTTTCCCGCTTTCTGCAACTTGTCAATCAAACAGATAGCTCCGCCCCAAACTCACACTATTGGTTGAATGTTGCTCTGTCGGGCTGGTCTCAAACAAACAGATTAATGTTCTGATAGCACCACAGAGACACAGTGTTTACACTTTTCGGGGAAGTCACCCTGCAAATGGCTTTCTTGACTCCCCAACCATAAAGTGAAAGTATTTAGACGATTTACAGAAATCACCTCTATCAAGTCTTCATATCTCTGCAAAAGCAACCTTAAGCAATACAGTCTAAAAATTCACATTGTCACATTATCAGCACAATAGAACATAGCTGTTGTCAAGGTCAGGAATGTCACTCTACTTTGTGTCCCAGACAGTGTACTATCAGTTAAGCACTCATACACAAGCACTGGATGGCAGGCTTTCCTGGCCTCCCTCCCGTTTCAGCAGATCTGATGATAGCCCCTCACTACTGTAATGCTTTTAGCGGCAAGCAGTACTAGCGCATGTCACTTCTCAGCTCAGGCTGAAAGAGCGTAAGTGCATTTGTCTGCGTGCATGAATACGATGGTCACGTTTAGCTGGACACCAGAAACAGGTTAACATAATTATCCTTTAGCAAAACAGATTACAGAGCACCCATCTGATATATCATCATCACATGGATATCTCCACGTGTTTTTCTCCTCTGAAGTCTGTATGACTTCTGTTGTTTTTGTGTTCATCTCATTTTTAGTCGAGGGGATTTTTCTGAGAGTCATGATCGCGACACAACTGAATCATAACACAGACGCTGATCCGTCACCATTACTCAACAGTAACCTCATGGTAAAACCCCACACGAGCTGGGGGAGAGCTCTACACTTCCTCTTGATTTGCATCATGAATGAATCCAACTGTTTTACTGCCTTGCCAGGCAACGGCCAATCACTTTGTTTGGCAACAGGAAGCTTTGTGACCTCACTGTAGACAATCACAGTTTCAGCTCCCAAATGGAAAAACAGATGTCGAGCCTGAACTAGATTCATGGTCATTGTTTTTTCCCTTTGCCCTGATTAAGTGTTGTAATTTTAGAGTTTCGAGCTGTTTTGACAAAGAGCAAAGTAAAACAGTGATCTATTATTTTCCGTTTCGACATTAGAGTAGTTCCTTACTTTTTCATCAGGGACCCCATGGAATTGATTTTCAGGGACATTTTCTTATTTTATGAGGGCATTATACTTGACAATCAATTAACTGAAATAAATCCTTCCTCTGAACAAATGTGTTTATTTTAAAATCTAATCAACTTAGAAACATACACAGTACTGTCGAGAAGATAAAAAAAAAGAAAAGGCTTCATTTAATTGCTGAAAAAATACAGCAAAAATAGTAACATTGTGAAATATTATTACAATTTAAAATAACTATTTTCTATTTTAATATTTTTTAAATGTAATTTATTCCTTTGATGCAAAGCTGAATTTTCAGCATCATTACTACAGCATTCAGTGTCACATGATCCTTCAGAAATCATTATATGCTGATTTGCTGCTCTAGGAATATTTATTATTATCAATGTTGAAAACATTGCAGATTAATATGTTTGTGGAAAGCATGATACATTTTTTTCTATTCATTGTTTGATGAACAGAAAGTTCAAAAGAACAGTACTTATTCTAAATAACTTTTTTTTTTCAAAATTATAACTGTCATTTTGATCAGTTTAATGTCTTTGCTGAATAAAAGCATTAATTTTCTCTAAATTGTTTTTTTTACTGAACCCAGACTTTTAAATGGTGGGGCATCTATAAATAACACACAATAAATCATAACACAAACTCTCTACAATACATTTTAACTGGCTAGTGGCTATGCTAGATTAAATAGCTCAATACTGTTTGATGTAATCATTGTTTTAGAGTCTTTTGTTCCAAGCAACAGTATTCAAGCAACAGCTCTGACTAAATCTTAAAATAACTAGACAGGCCTTGAATAGATTATGTAATATCTCCACTCTTAGGTAACAGACAAATTCACGACGAGGGCCATTTGCGTCACTTTTGGTGACTTTTTTCAACCCTGGTTTGAGTGGAAAGCACCTGAATTTGAGGTTGAGATTTATGACTTTTACGGTAACGCTTAAATGATTAAGCTAGATCCTCAGGGTTGCATTTATTAATGTGAAGTTCTATTCACTAGTTGCTGTTCTCCCTCTGACTCAACATGCCGCCCACCATACACATTCACATTCACAGCCACATGCCTACAAGGACTCACTCGAGTCTTCATTATCTTTATAGGCATATCTTTCTTTGTCCAACAGAGCATGTGTAGACCTTAGGTGTTACCTTTAAGAAGGGTGTGAGATGTTTGTCAATCAAAGGGTGTTCCCCTAACATCGTCAAAGTTCCTTGTAGTAAAATCCGACTGTTGGTACAAGCCTTCATGATGCACGATTGATCAGGGCGGTGTGCCGCATTGAAAATATTGATTAGCACCAGCGGCAGCCATATGCCTATCCTTAGGGAATTTCATTTCCTTAGGGCCATATTGACCTTGCTTTCTCTGTTGTATAGGAGTGAATAAGGAAAAAGGAAGCACATACTGGGGGTAATGAACCATTGAAGCTTAAATACTGGTGCAGGGTCGAAAGAATAAAGGCCTGTTCGCACTAAGAGCGGAAAAGCAAAACGAATCACACACAAAAGGTCTGTTCACACCAAGAGTGAAACGAAAAACCACTGCATTCATTCACATGCTTTAATGCAAAATGTGACAATACGAATGCCACTCACTTTAATGCAACATAAAAGTCATTTTTAAGCATAACAGGTATGTTTGTTCTTGGTGTGAGTAGGCTTTAAAGGGATAGTTCACCTAAAAATTTTTAATTCTGTCATTATTTACTCACACTCATGTCGTTCCTAACTTGTTTGACCTTAACAAATGAACATCCAATGTTGTTGGACCTCAACGTTTGTCAAAATATCTTCTTTTGTGTTCTGCAAAAGAGAACAAAGAAAGTCATATAGGTTTTTAACAACATGAGGGTGAGTACATGATGAGAGAATTTCCATTTTTGGGTGAACTATCGCTTTAAATGAGAAAATCTAGTAAGTGAACAGTCAAAAAAATTGCTTTAGCCAATTTATTTTCACAGTCCCAGGACTGCATGTGTGCGACTGTTCTTGCTGTTCAGAACTTGTCATCTGATGACTAGTGCGAGATTAAATGCGGTGTGACACAGATGCTAGTCTCAAATGGACCATTGACACTGTATCTACAATCTCAATTAGGAGTTTCAATGGTCCGTTTGAGAGATAGGTTATGGCTAGGCTTTGGATGTGCGGATTTGGCCCGATTTGCACTGAGACATGGCATATTTAGCCACATTCGGCCCGATTACGGACCATAAGTGCTGGTCTGATTTTGGCTGAGATATGGCCATGCAGACCCGGACCAGTTTAGGTTGAGTGCTGGGGGTGGGTCTGTTTACAATGTTGTAAATAGTATGTAGTGACACTTAAACTTAAACATAATATATTTTACCTGTCCATGTCATGTTATTTCTTAGTGTATTTTTTTATTTTAATTCCTATTCATATTTTTTTCCCCTTTTATCCAACATTCTCTTTTTTCTTTAACTACATTTGGAAATTAATGATTTAATTCATATAATGAAACAAGCTTAAAGTGGTTAAGGGAACTTTAACATTATTTTTGCTGTATGAGTTTCAAGATATGCGCACTAGCTTTGACATCTAATGACAAAACCTGACTGGCTTTTTGTGCTGCTAATTGCTATAATATCAAAGTAATGTTTATTTATAATGAAGCTATAATTGTGAGCTCGCTGACATAGAGCTAGAGTTGAGCTCCAACCATAATCAAGAACACCTGATCCAGCTAATCAAGGTCTTCAGGTTTTTTTTTAATTTAGCGAACAAAACTAGTACCGGCTAGGTGTCGGCATGATTGTGACCCAGTGTCAGCTCAGTTTCAGTACCCAGATTCGGGCCAGTACTGGCTAGTGTACCATTTTGGTTGGTGTGATTGTGGCCCAATGCTGGTGGTGTCGGCTCAGTTTCAGTACCCAGTGTCGGACCGGTGCCGGCTAAGTGTACCGTTTTGGTTGGCGTGATTGTGGCCCAATGCTGGTGGTGTTGGCTCAGTTTCAGTACCCAGTGTCGGATCAGTGCCGGCTAAGTGTACCATTTTGGTTGGCGTGATTGTGGCCCAATGCTGGTGGTGTTGGCCCAGTTTCAGTACCCAGACTCAGGCCAGTACCGGCTAAGTGTTTCAATTCTTGTCAGCGTGATTGTGGCCCAATGCCGGCAGTTTTGGCAGCCGGACTCGGGCCAGTGTATTTGGGCCGATTCTGGGGCGTCATTCATCCCATGTCCATGCCGACTCTGGCAACCGCAGCCGGGCCGAGTTATTTCATCCGGCCTGCCGGATCTGGGCCATTATCGGGCCAAACCGTTTTAGCTACCTGGGATGTGATGGTTCCAGCGTCTTTGAAACAACTGAGTTTTCGATATATTGCGTTTTGTTTTGTTTTTTCTAAAATTGATTTGGTTTGAAATGATTATGATAAAAATTCAAATTATTGATTATTTCCCTTTGATATGAAACATTAAATAGCAGCTGTGCATACAAAACAAGTTGAAAATGTTTCTGAATTAGTTTATTGTTTATGTTCAGTAATTCAAGACGATGACTAGACTGTCAATTATACATTGTTCCACTTAGCAGCATAAAAAATGTGTTCAAATTATAAAAAAATTATGACAGCGATGTTATATACACTCTAATTACTGAAGCTGTCTATCACTTCAGCATAAACACGCTTCTGCGTTCTCGCAAAAACTCCTCTTATAGTCAAAGATTAAAGGTGTGGTCACATTTACTGTTGTTCTGCAAATTTTCATGGGCGAATTTGGCGCGTTGACCAACAGAAAGCTGTTTTGTTTTAAAATGACTTTTTTGTGAGCTGTATTTCATACATTTGCTACACTATTTACAATAGACAATGGATCCTTTTTTGCCTGTGACATATAGCGAAATTAGTGAAATGTTCAAATTTTCACAGGTAAAAACATTGATTTTATGTTGTCAGTATAGTGTAGAGTTGTATGAAGCACAGCTCACACAGAAGTCACTTTCAAACCAAGCAGCTGTAGGTCAATGCAGCAAATCTGCATGACCAACTGAACCCAATGCAAAATCTACATCGGGAAATCTTTTGCCTTTGTGCAAAATTCCTGATCGCATGGATTCCTATTAAAAAGACTGTATTACAGCTGTGATCATTCGCTGAACACCGGTAAATGTGACTACTACTCCCTGGTGAGAAAACATTTGATTATAATATAAATAATATAATTTTAATAAACCATTCTACACATATAATATCAAAGTAATGTTTATTTATAAAATTGTGAGCATTGTGAGTTT